GTCTAGTCTATAGTCTAGTCTATAGTCTAGTCTATAGTCTAGTCTATAGTCTAGTCTATAGTCTAGTCTATAGTCTAGTCTATAGTCTAGTCTATAGTCTAGTCTATAGTCTAGTCTATAGTCTAGTCTATAGTCTAGTCTATAGTCTAGTCTATAGTCTAGTCTATAGTCTAGTCTATAGTCTAGTCTATAGTCTAGTCTATAGTCTAGTCTATAGTCTAGTCTATAGTCTAGTCTATAGTCTAGTCTATAGTCTAGTCTATAGTCTAGTCTATAGTCTAGTCTATAGTCTAGTCTATAGTCTAGTCTATAGTCTAGTCTATAGTCTAGTCTATAGTCTAGTCTATAGTCTAGTCTATAGTCTAGTCTATAGTCTAGTCTATAGTCTAGTCTATAGTCTAGTCTATAGTCTAGTCTATAGTCTAGTCTATAGTCTAGTCTATAGTCTAGTCTATAGTCTAGTCTATAGTCTAGTCTATAGTCTAGTCTATAGTCTAGTCTATAGTCTAGTCTAGTAGTCTAGTCTATAGTCTAGTCTATAGTCTAGTCTATAGTCTAGTCTATAGTCTAGTCTATAGTCTAGTCTATAGTCTAGTCTATAGTCTAGTCTAGTCTAGTCTATAGTCTAGTCTATAGTCTAGTCTATAGTCTAGTCTATAGTCTAGTCTATAGTCTAGTCTATAGTCTAGTCTATAGTCTAGTCTATAGTCTAGTCTATAGTATAGTCTATAGTCTAGTCTATATTCTAGTTTATAGTCTAGTCTTTACAGTCTATTCCCCTGCATAAAGACTAGATAGAGTTTGCAATATTTTTACTTAAAATTCTGAAAATGTTCAAATATCTAGAAGAGATTTATTTTCAATTTCAATATGATGAAAATTTAATTGCTACAAATAAAGTTTTGCATTTGGCTTCACCTAAAACTAATTTCGTTTTAGTATTAGTGTCAGTGAATCTGTAAATCTTTTTGCAAAACATTTTAGAGTTTTTTATTCTGCTTAGTTTATTTATCTAGCTATTTCTGTAAATAGATTCTGAAAATAATAAATTTAACAAATTTCAAACTTGTCTATACTTGGCAGAATGTTTTTTAGTCTTGTTTGTTGTTTTTTCTAGTTTAGTGTCGGGTTTTTTTTAAAGATTTTTGTTGTGAGCAATTTGGTGTAAATAAATAGATTCTTGATGTCGATATTGAAATTAAGTTTAAAATTGTGTTTTTTTTATATTGCCAATATTTCAGTTTCAATTTTGTTTTCTTGGTGTTTGTTGCTTCTTTTTAACTTAAATTCTTGACATTTCTCTTTCTGGGTTTCTGTGTTAGAGATGTTTGTTGAGGCAAAAATAAAGTAAGAATATATGGTGGTGTCTGTCCATCCGTTTAAAGAGTGGGTATCTGTGTGTGTTTTCGTATTTACATGCAAGTCGTTTGTTTGTATAAGTTTTAGAGGAGATTGTCAATATTTATTTGAATTTTATTGTATCTTTAAGTTTGTGATTTCTTAGTAAAAATATATTTATCTGCGGTTTCTCTAATGTTAGCAACAAAATTTAGCTTGTAAAGTTTTTTAAATTGTATATGGCGTTTGTATTTTTAACTCGATTTTTTCCAAATGAGCAAAAAAATCAAGCAAATAATTTTGTGAAACTTTCAATCGGTCACTGGGTTCTCTGAGAATTAGCAGTTAATTTGCTTTTGCCGTTTCTTGGGGATTTTTTTGTTTTGCTTTTAACTGATTAATTTTTATTTATGTGATTGTTTTGCTATTTTTTTATAAAGTTTGTTTATTATTTTATTTTTTTTTTATAATTTTATAATACAAAAATTTCAAGTTGAATGCTACTTCGACTACAGCTGCAAAAGATACTGGAGCTGGTATTTATTAGACTTGGGCTTTTAATCTCTAAACAGAGTTTTAAAAGAACGTTTTTTCCAAAAAAACTCTTTGTTAATTGATATCATCAGATCACTGTAATGTTTTAATACATCTACACTTCTGGCACTCTAATACCATCTTAAGAATGTGTATTTTGTATGTTATCTGATGATTTTTGTGCAGCTAATTCTGCTGATTGGTATGATTTCAAATATAAATAAACAAAACCATCGATCAATGTTTATTTCAAATATTTTTATTTTTTTTTTCTTCTTTAAAATCATAATCATCATTTCAAAACCTCATCATCTGTGGTATCCGGTTTTAATAAATTTTCTGCCATTAAATATTGTTGTTTTATTTGTTTTTCATTTTAGTTGATTTTTGTTGTCATCCGTAACCATTTTTTAATTATATTTTTTTCGTTTCATTTTAAAGTTTAATTTGTTAAATTATTGAAAGAAATTAGTTAAATTTCAAACGAATCAACCTTTAAAATTAAAATGTAAAGAAGGGATTTAAAAACTAAGACCAAACTATTTATTGTTTTAAATTTTAAATTTGTGTTAAACAAAACGCATTTTTTATCTTATCATAAGTCTTCTACTTAAAATCGTTTTTCAAGGGAGAGTATTTAGTTGTTTTAAGTAAAAAAAATAATAAACAAATAAATGAAAAAAAAAAAACAACAAATAAAGAAAAATTAAAAACAAAATACCAGAAATAGTATTTGAATGATTAAAATTAATAGTGAAGACAACAGAAATATAGAAGGGTCTTAAGACTTTAGACTAGACTATAGACTAGACTATAGACTAGACTATAGACTAGACTATAGACTAGACTATAGACTAGACTATAGACTAGACTATAGACTAGACTATAGACTAGACTATAGACTAGACTATAGACTAGACTATAGACTAGACTATAGACTAGACTATAGACTAGACTATAGACTAGACTATAGACTAGACTATAGACTAGACTATAGACTAGACTATAGACTAGACTATAGACTAGACTATAGACTAGACTATAGACTAGACTATAGACTAGACTATAGACTAGACTATAGACTAGACTATAGACTAGACTATAGACTAGACTAGACTAGACTATAGACTAGACTATAGACTAGACTATAGACTAGACTATAGACTAGACTATAGACTAGACTATAGACTAGACTATAGACTAGACTATAGACTAGACTATAGACTAGACTATAGACTAGACTATAGACTAGACTATAGACTAGACTATAGACTAGACTATAGACTAGACTATAGACTAGACTATAGACTAGACTATAGACTAGACTATAGACTAGACTATAGACTAGACTATAGACTAGACTATAGACTAGACTATAGACTAGACTATAGACTAGACTATAGACTAGACTATAGACTAGACTATAGACTAGACTATAGACTAGACTATAGACTAGACTATAGACTAGACTATAGACTAGACTATAGACTAGACTATAGACTAGACTATAGACTAGACTATAGACTAGACTATAGACTAGACTATAGACTAGACTATAGACTAGACTATAGACTAGACTATAGACTAGACTATAGACTAGACTATAGACTAGACTATAGACTAGACTATAGACTAGACTATAGACTAGACTATAGACTAGACTATAGACTAGACTATAGACTAGACTATAGACTAGACTATAGACTAGACTATAGACTAGACTATAGACTAGACTATAGACTAGACTATAGACTAGACTATAGACTAGACTATAGACTAGACTATAGACTAGACTATAGACTAGACTATAGACTAGACTATAGACTAGACTATAGACTAGACTATAGACTAGACTATAGACTAGACTATAGACTAGACTATAGACTAGACTATAGACTAGACTATAGACTAGACTATAGACTAGACTATAGACTAGACTATAGACTAGACTATAGACTAGACTATAGACTAGACTATAGACTAGACTATAGACTAGACTATAGACTAGACTATAGACTAGACTATAGACTAGACTATAGACTAGACTATAGACTAGACTATAGACTAGACTATAGACTAGACTATAGACTAGACTATAGACTAGACTATAGACTAGACTATAGACTAGACTATAGACTAGACTATAGACTAGACTATAGACTAGACTATAGACTAGACTATAGACTAGACTAGACTATAGACAAGACTATAGACTAGACTATAGACTAGACTATAGTCTAGACTATAGACTAGACTATAGACTAGACTATGGACTAGACTATAGACTAGAGTATGGACTATACTATAGACTAGACTATAGACTACACTATATACTAGACTATAGACTACACTGTAGACTACACTATAGACTAGACTACTTTACACTTGATTTTAAATCAGACTAAAAGACTTCACTTTAGACCAGACTAACGGTTATGCAATTTTCTATTAAGCTTTTTCCAATAAATGATCCTATTTCCTACTAAATTTAGTCACTTTTTTCACTCTTTCCTCAAACAATAATTAAATATTCACGTTTATTTGCTCAAATCATCTACATCATCATGATCTCAAGCCAAACTTCATTATCTTTTCTTAAACGTTAATCATTAATTTACACATTATTTATCATTAAATTCATTATGCAAATTAGTTCAAAATATTTTTTGTTTGTTTCTTTTCATTTATTTGTTTGTTTATTTAGTATTTTCTTTAAAAAAATATATCGGTCAAATTTGTATGTTTTTTTTTTTTTTTAAATTCAAAGAAGTTCATAAACTTTACTTTCATTGAGATTTCTTTTATGTTTTAAAATTTTATTGGTTTTTACATTTAAATGATCATTTAGTAGACTATTGTTAAAACGTCACTTTTTTGCTAAAAGGTTGTGAAATTTTTAATTGGTTTTAGTTTATAATATTAGTTGAGAATTTATTAAGTTTAAAACAAAAGAATCATTAGTGTTTAATTAATATTTTAAAATAGGTTAAAAATTCTAATATGAAATTATGAAATTTTTATGGGATTTATGTAGATAAAAGGTTATTAACACTTTATTAAGAGGAGATTTTGGAAGAAAAACTAATTTTATAAAATTTTTAAATTTTTCTATTTTTGTTTATTTGCAGGTATGTTATGTTTGAAACTAATAAAACTTCTTAAAAGGTATTTTACTAAAATTATGAATATTATGTTTTTAAATATAACTGACAGCGGCGCTTAAAAATCGTTAAAATTTGAAAAAAAACTGAAGACAACTAAATAATCATTAAAAACCTAAGTACAACTTTGACGCCAGTCTCTGGCTGACCCAAATTTGGTAAAAAAAATTTAACGCGCACTCGATGATCGTCAAACAGACAGACACTTTTCTATTTTATACATATTTTTTAAAATTTATTATGATTTATTTTTACGTGTGTTATTGATATTGACGTTATGAAGCTTTTGTTAAAAAAATTTTTTAAATTTTTTTTTAAAGTTCAAAATTGTCTATAAAAGGGTGTCATATGAATGATTTTCAATTAATTCAATTCCCCAGCAATTGTGAATTATTGATGTGAATGAATAAAGAGAGAGAGAGGGAGAAGATAACTCACCATACAAAAATGAGTGAATGACTGTCAATATGGCAAAATGACGGACGTTTAACAGACAAATATGAATATAAAGAAATAAATATTAAAAATAATAATTGAAAGTCATTTAAAAAAATATATATATGGACACAATTACAACATCGCAACAGACAGACTGACACTCAGACATGCGATCATTTAAAATAAAGTAAAAGTTTGCTAATAATTATTGACAGTTTTTGTAAACCTGATTAAAATTTTAATTTTTAAAGTTTTATTCAAATTATGTATTTGAAAATAAAAATTGAAAACATTTGTCTAATGTCTTCAATTTATTAATGTCAAATGGCAAAAATCGGACATGATTTCCCTATAAAGTTTTAAATGTCGTTTTTTTTTTGTCATTTATCTGCAGGGAACATGTTTGTTTTTTTCTAAATTGAGGAAATTAAGAAAAAATTATCATTTTAAGAAAAAATGACATCTAATATAGACTCTCTCACGCCCATACACACACGCACATTTTCCTGGTAACCCAGTGAACATAAGGAGTTGAAGTTGAGTAGAAATGAAAGGAATTCTTGAACTTGATTTCGAACGATTTTTCAATATTAACCCATTAGAGAAATATTTTCACACTCAACTTTTGCAAAAAATTTATTCTCAAATGTTTTTCAAATGTATTACAAATGTGGTTTGAAAATATATACAATTAAAAGGGGCTTGACCTTGGAGCAGAAAGAGATTTGTGATCGAACAACATTTTACTTAAGTTAAGTTTTAGGTTTGAGAAAGATTGAAGAAAAGCTTTCGACATCAAACTGAACACGATCTCAAATGTTTCTCAAATGTATTTCAAATGTGACTTCAAACTATATATTTAAAAGGGCTTTACTTTGGAGCAGAAAGAGATTTGAGATCGAACAAAATTTTACTTCTTTAATCAAACTTAAATTTAGTTTTAGGTTTGAGAAAGATTGGAGAAAAGCTTTCGACATCAAACAGAACACGAACTCAAATGTTTTTCAAATGTATTTCAAATGTGACTTGAAGCTGTATACAACTTAAAGGGTCTTCACTTAGGATCGGAAAGAGATTTGAGATCGAACAACATATAACTTTTTTAATCAAACTTAAATTTAGTTTTAGGTTTGAGAAAGATTGGAGAAAAGCTTTCGACATCAAACAGAAGACGATCTCAAATATTTCTCAAATATATTTCAAATGTGACTAGAACTAAAGATTTAAAAGGGCTTCACCTTCGATCAGAAAAAGATTTGAGATCGAACAACATATAACTTTTTTAATCAAACTTAAGTTTAGTTTTAGGTTTTAAAAAGATTGGAGAAAAGCTTTCGACATCAAACAGAACACGAACTCAAATGTTTTTCAAATGTATTTCAAATGTGCCTTGAAGTTGTATACAACTTAAAGGGTCTGCACTTAGGATCGGAAAGAGATTTGAGATCGAACAACATTTAACTTTTTTAATCAAACTTAAATTTAGTTTAAGGTTTGAGAAAGAATGGAGAAAAACTTTCGTCATCAAACAGAATACAATCTCAAATGTTTCTCAAATGTATTTCAAATGTGACTTGAAACTATATATTTAAAAGGGCTTCACCTTGGATCAGAAAGAGATTTGAGATCGAACAAAATTTTACTTCTTTAATCAAACTTAAATTAAGTTTAAGGTTTGAGAACGATTGGAGAAAAGCTTCCGACATCAAACATAACGCGAATAGTTCTTATCATAATCATTTCAAATTAAATCTGTAATAAGTTTAATAACAAATGTCAAAATTTTATAAATTCTTCAAACTTTACCCTCTCTGTTCATTGGGTTTCCCCAACGACTTGTATTGCTTATGTTTCTCTCACAAGTCTCCATTAAAATGATTACTTTTTTTCAAAACGTCGTCAATGTGCTGTTCATTGGCCAGGTTATAATAACCAACTGTTTTATGGCTTTTAACGTGAAAGTGACAAATGCCAATAGATATTGAAACAAGGAAAGAAAAAAAATCTCAATAACATTTTTAAAACGACACTTAAACATTGAACAACAACAACAGCAATAAATGCAACCCAAAATACAACATCATGAAGTGATGATCATCATCGTTATCATGTGTTTGCTGCTGCAACTTCAACAAACAAGTGTGTTGTTGTCATCTTAATATAAAGTGTAGTTGTTGTTGTTTTTATGGTTGTCAACTTTAATGAACGTACAGTGGTTTGGGGGAAAACTATGATTGATTTCCGTTTAAGAGTAAACTTCAGGCAGAATTTGCTAAGGAATATTGATCAGTGAAAGAAATTAATTAAAATACTTCCCCTTCCATTGATATTTGTTTAGTCTGAACAAAAAGTTTATAGATCGTTTTTCATAATAAAGGATTTGAGGAAAATTGGCTGTAGAAAAGAAATTTTCGTAAATGAATTTTTCTGAAATATTTCTAAAAAGGAGAATTTTGTAAAAAAATGAGACTTATTGTAAAAAAATTTCAGAAAATTTAGAAAAAAGCAAATTTTGAAAAATTTTCTTCAAAAAAAAAAAAAAAAAAAAAAATATTTATCAGAAATTTTTCTAAACAAGAGACTTTTTCTAAAAAAAAATTTATTCAGAAAATTTTCTTAAAAAAAAATTTTTTCAGAAAAAATTTCAAAATTTTCTCAAAAAGAGACGTTTTTCAAAGAAAAAGATTTTTTTAAATTTCATAATTTTTCAGAAAATTTTCTAAAAAAAATCTTAAATTTCCAAAGAATTTTTCAGAATTTTTCAGAAAAAGTCTAGACTAGACTATAGACTATGGACTAGACTATAGGCTAGACTATAGGCTAGACTAGACTATAGGCTAGACTAGACTATAGACTAGACTAGACTATAGACTAGACTAGACTATAGACTAGACTAGACTATAGACTAGACTAGACTAGACTATATAGACTAGACTATATAGACTAGACTAAATAGACTAGACTATATAGACTAGACTAAATAGACTAGACTAGACTAGACTATAGACTAGACTATAGACTAGACTAGACTAGACTAGACTAGACTATAGACTAGACTATATAGACTAGACTATATAGACTAGACTATAGACTAGACTAAACTAGACTATATAGACTAGACTATATAGACTAGACTATATAGACTAGACTATAGAGACTAGACTATATAGACTAGACTATATAGACTAGACTATAGAGACTAGACTATATAGACTAGACTATATAGACTAGACTATATAGACTAGACTATATAGACTAGACTATATAGACTAGACTATATAGACTAGACTATATAGACTAGACTATATAGACTAGACTATATAGACTAGACTATATAGACTAGACTATATAGACTAGACTATATAGACTAGACTATATAGACTAGACTATATAGACTAGACTTATAGACTAGACTATAGAGACTAGACTATATAGACTAGACTATATAGACTAGACTATATAGACTAGACTATATAGACTAGACTATAGAGACTAGACTATATAGACTAGACTATATAGACTAGACTATATAGACTAGACTATATAGACTATACTATATAGACTAGACTATATAGACTAGACTATATAGACTAGACTTATAGACTAGACTATATAGACTAGACTATATAGACTAGACTATATAGACTAGACTATATAGACTAGACTATATAGACTAGACTATATAGACTAGACTATATAGACTAGACTATATAGACTAGACTATATAGACTCGACTATATAGACTCGACTATATAGACTAGACTATATAGACTAGACTATATAGACTAGACTATATAGACTAGACTATATAGACTAGACTATATAGACTAGACTATATAGACTAGACTATATAGACTAGACTATATAGATTAGACTATATAGACTAGACTATATAGACTAGACTATATAGACTAGACTATATAGACTAGACTATATAGACTAGACTATATAGACTAGACTATATAGACTAGACTATATAGACTAGACTATATAGACTAGACTATATAGACTAGACTATATAGACTAGACTATATAGACTAGACTATATAGACTAGACTATATAGACTAGACTATATAGACTAGACTATATAGACTAGACTATATAGACTAGACTATATAGACTAGACTATATAGACTAGACTATATAGACTAGACTATATAGACTAGACTATATAGACTAGACTATATAGACTAGACTATATAGACTAGACTATATAGACTAGACTATATAGACTAGACCATATAGACTAGACTATAGACTAGACTATAGACTAGACTATATAGACTAGACTAAATAGACTAGACTATATAGACTAGACTATATAGACTAGACTAAATAGACTAGACTATAGAGACTAGACTATAGAGACTAGACTATATAGACTAGACTAAATAGACTAGACTATATAGACTAGACTATATAGACTAGACTATATAGACTAGATTATATAGACTAGACTATATAGACTAGACTATATAGACTAGACTAAATAGACTAGACTATATAGACTAGACTAAATAGACTAGACTATATAGACTAGACTAAATAGACTAGACTATATAGACTAGACTATATAGACTAGACTATATAGACTAGACTAAATAGACTAGACTGTATAGACTAGACTAAATAGACTAGACTATATAGACTAGACTATAGAATAACTATAGACTAAACTATTGTCTAGACTATAACTAAACTATAGACTATATTATGGACTTGACTCTAGTCTGTGTAGACTAGTCTGTAGCCTAGTCCCTAGTTTAGTCAGAAGTCTAGTCTATAGTTTGGTATGCATATAGTCCAGCTGTATGGACTAGACTAGACACTGTAACAATCAATGTCTTTAACCCCTGTAATTAATAAAAAATTTACGCGCCCAATAAAAAAAGGAAGAAAACTTAAAATAATCACTTGTTTCTTTAAAACGAATTTTATGATTCAAACAATTTCAAATGAAATTATTATCGAAAAAAAAAACACATACCGAGAGAGACATTTGCAAAAAACAGCAGGTAATTTATTGTCAACCTCAAAATTGCTCAACAACTCCTCTCCCCGCCAAAAAAAAAACCAACAAACTCCGTAACTCTTTGTTTTTTTTTGTTTCTACATCAGATATAAATAAAACACGGCAAATATTACCGTTAATATGTGGTAATAACAACTGCGACAGGCAGATCGCTGTTGTTAAGAAAAACTTACATTAAAATGCGTTGGCTGAATGGCGGGCTGACTGTCTAGGTTTAGCTGAGAGTTGATTGGCTTAGTCATCATATTCAATCATTACAAATGATCATGGTTACCACTAAAAATCCCAAGTGCTATTTATTTCAGATTATTTTTACTTTTTGTCAATTGTGTGTATTGAATTTTTATTATGATTTAAAATAAAATAAAGTGTAGAAAGAAAGACTAGCAAAAGAAAGATATTAATGTATTTCTGCTGTAGTAAAACGTAACTCATCCCCAGGTGATTTTCTTTATTTTGTTTACCAACAGCAGCAAACAAAAACAAAGTAAAAACTTGCTTTTTTTACTACCGAAACAAAAGTAATAAAAACAGTTGGTAGAAATAACGCCAACTTAACCACATTTTATTTTTACTCATCCCCTCAAAAAAAAAAAAAGTTAAAAGAAAAAACTCTCTAAACGTCAATGTCCGATTGCTATAATCTCAGCAATACTATTCGTAGTTCAAACTTTATGAATTGTAAACGCAGACGTAGAAAGAAAGGTGTTAAAGAAAGAAGACTGATGAAAGAAAATATATTAAAGAAACTACAACGTCTTACCATAAAGGAAAGTCAGTCGTCGTCGTCGTCAGTCATTGGCGATAACGTCTTGGTGACGACGTTTTACGTCTTATTACTTCTTTTAGCTTTCAGTTGTTATAAATTGCTACTTTTGTCGCTGCTACATTAACAAAAACAAATTATGACCGCCAGACAGTTGTTAAGATGTCGTCACATTAAAGTTTAATGTAGAAGAAAACATTGATTTTGATTTACCTGCAAAGAAAAAAGAGTTGAAAAAAATTAATATTAGTTATTAGGCTGTATATTTGTTTAATTTATTTGTTAAAAAGCTTTTAAGTTTTTAATTAATTATAGAGTTTAAGTGGATAAATAAGTACTTATTTGTAAATTAAGTTATAATATGCGAAATGATTAACAATTATTATGTTTGTTAGATTAAACAAATTGAGAAATATTTAAAAAAACTAGACAAAATATGATCCCCAAAAATTATTGATCAAAAGAGCAGTATTTTCAAAAGTGTACTTTTCAAAAGTGAAAACAACTCTGAATTCGGTCCAAGTTCTCTAGCACCAAATCCTGAAGCTATTCAGTTGCTTTTAACTAAAATTTCTTTCAAAAACAATGCTACAAATCCATGAGCTTTTATAAATGCCAGTTAAACTTTTCAGTTTGTGAAATTTAGCACAATTTTTATTATTTATTTAATTTTTCAAATAAATTATGAGGCCATAAAAATTTAAGCAAATAAAAAAAGAAAAATACTATACATTAAGAACACAGTTTAAATTAAACAAATTAATTTTCATGTTTTGCTGGTGTTTTATGGCAAATAAAATGCGATTAGTCACTCACACTCTTTTTTGAGTCTTAAAGTGAAACTAAATACTCGAGAAAAAATATTAAATTTTTAATAAAATAAAACAAAAAAAAAAAATATATTAAAACCACAACAAATAATAAAATAAAATTTTATTTAAGGCAACGCAAAACTAAGGCAAAAATATATATAAATATAATTAACCATAAACAATTTTTAATAAAGAATATAAAAAAATTAATTTATAATTTAACTTTTTATGGCAAATTAAGGTTTATTTGGCAACAAAGTTATTAACAAGTGGGATAAACTGAGAGTTTAAGGAACGGTTTTACAGTTCACAGAAAGGGAAACAATTTACTTAAGGCTAAAGGTTTTGGAACTTGATTGAGATGCAAAAGCTTAAACTAAGTTTAATTAACTGTTTAACAGATAGACAGACAGAACAGACAGAACAGATAGAACAGATAGAACAGATAGAACAGATAGAACAGATAGAACAGGTAGAACAGATAGAACAGCTAGAACAGATAGAACAGATAGAACAGATAGAACATATAGAACAGACAGAACAGATAGATATAGATAGATAGATAGATAGATATAGATAGATAGATAGATAGATAGATAGATAGATAGATAGATAGATAGATAGATAGATAGATAGATATAGATAGATAGATAGATAGATAGATAGATAGATAGATAGATAGATAGATAGATAGATAGATATAGATATAGATAGATAGATAGATAGATAGATAGATATAGATGATAGATAGATGATAGATAGATAGATAGATAGATAGATAGATAGATAGATAGATAGATAGATAGATAGATAGATAGATAGATAGATAGATAGATAG